CTTTTTTGAACAGTTACAGGGAAAATTACATACATTAAATGGATAAGTAATTGAGATAGTTTGAGATTTTAAAAACTTATATAATAAAACTGATGAGACACGTGATGTGAAATACAGGTGAGAGCATAAAATATGGTGTTAGCTTCAAAATATTAATTCATATGATTAAAATACATATTTCAAATATGATAACTTCCAGTTTCACTATTTCTTAGCCCAGAGCAGATGAAGAGCCTCATGATAAAACCTCCTCGACGATTTCTGTTGTGATGTTTAGTTTCTTATTAGTTTGAAAGTATAAACAGCAATAATAGTTCTTGTATTACTGTTGTAGTATGTTCTTTGATTAAATGTGATATCACTGTGACTCATCCAGTGCTTCAGTGATATAAGACAACCCACAAAAATAGCTATCAATGCTCGTTTACACTGCACAGTTTTTCCTTCTAATATGTTTTGATTATAACTTTGGCATTCTTGATACAAGAACTTGAGAAATTTTCTATTCTTCAACATATTTCATGCTTCATTCAACATGCTCTCTCAGTGTACGTCCGCATATCTATCTGTGGTTTTAAATTATGTACATATATATCTTTTGAATTACAGCTTTTAAGAACTAAGTATATTTGGAAAGAAGCATAAAAAAGACATAATAACATAATTTAGCATTAGAACAAAAAGCAATAATGAAATGCTTAAAATTTAGACAAAATTATATTTGGTTCAAACCTTTTTCAAGCAATACTCCAATTCTTTTGCTTGATATGCAGGATTTATATTAACCTAAACAGAACAAAGGTAATTTAAATAAAAAGAAAAAATCTCCAAAAAATACATATTTAGGTAGATAAAAGAAATTTTTTATGAAAAAAAAGTAATGAATTAATCTGAAACAATATTAAATACCAAAACCAATCCAGCCTTAGCAGTGGCAAACTGAGTTACAGGCCATTCATAACAATTTGGACTGCATATAGCAACTGTGTCTCCTTTTCTTAAGCCAAGAGAAATAAGCCCAGATGCAAATTTTTGAACCTGCAAACAAATTTTAGCTATTAACTATTCAGGAAGAACAACATAACTTCTAATTTGGATCTAAATGGGAATAACATCATTTGAAAGTGCAGTATTTTTTACATTACATTACTAGCACGCTGCCAGCTAAAACAAGTAAATTCAATCCATGAAACCATATTGTAAAATTACTATATTGCTTACTACAATGCTAAATATCACAACACAATGCTTAATATCACTGGGCATTATACAAAATAAATATGAAAAATAGAAATTTCACGATAGCAAATTTATCTATGTCCATGGGAATAATGGTACTTTCTGACTATCTAAAGCCCCTGAAAAATATACGCGAGGCAATAATCTATGCCAGCAAAATAGATAACCCATGATGCTGCCCTAATATATTTATGTAGCAATTCAGGAGTGCATACAGTAGATAAGTGCCAGTCATTAGTGTTTTTGTTACACTGAGTGTATTTTTTCCTCTGGCACATAGTTGTAATGGGACTGTGAAGTTTGCTGACTGATGAAAAAGTACTGCATTTCTTCAGAAGTATGGCATCTTGACTAACAGAAGAGAATGCAAATATTCACATTCCATGAAGTTGTACCTTGTAAAGAATTGAATTTCATGAATTAAAAATTGTGCACCAATGCCAAATTTGTGCAATACTCTGATGCTTTTTTTTTTTTTTTTTTGAGTAAAAAAAAAGACTACCAAATATATGGGAAAACAGCAGGATGTATAACGTAAAACTTCAAATTCTCTGATGCCACACTGATGAAAACAGATCAGTATGGGTATGGGAAGAATGATAATGCCAAATTTCTGCAATTCTCTGATTTTTAAGCTAAAACAGATCACAGTGTACACAGTGAGAACAATGCATTAAAAAAAAGGTAAGTGTTTTATTATGGATGTTCCTTGCATTTTTAACATTGATAATTGTTTGCAGTTATATGTAATTCTTAGTGTGCAATTTTTAAAAATGGCTATTTTTTTTTTTTTTTTTTTTTTTTTTTTTGGCTTTTTAGCTTGGCAAAAAACTAGTTGTGAAATGCTGGTGTCTTTTCATGAGGAAAGCGCAGACAAACAACAAATCTTAATGATTATCAGAACAAACACTACTGATTAACCTTTAACTGCTGTGAGCAGTCTGGGAGACTGCTGAGGATTTTCTAATCATCACTTCCACCCCTAAAAACCAGGCCGTGGAGTGGGTAGGGAAAATGACCGACTCCAACTCCTGGAATTTTAAACACTGACTCCCTCATATACTACATACATTTTATATTTCCTGCTTCCTATGAATTTCATTAGCATCTCATCAACATGTGCTAATTCTCCAATAGAATACATGCGTTGGAAATTTCTTATGATTGCATAAAATGTTTCCAATATTGGAGCTGCTTTGTCAGTTTCAATATGCTCGCTTCTTGTTTTAGAGTCATCAAATTGCAAGCAATTCAATAAAAATAAAAATCTCTATTTGGAAGAAACACATATAATTATCTCTCGTCCTGTACAGTCAGTAGCAAATAAACAATCAACATCTTTAAAATTAGATTTGAATATGGCAGAATAAATTAAAAGTCCATGGAAGGCTTTGATTTCTAAGTATTAATATCCATATTTCATTCTGCACTCATTGATTTTTACATGACTAAGTTGATTACTCGCTTGTCAGAAAATAAATTCCAAATATTTTCGGGCTCTACACTAGAGCCTATTTTTGTAAGATGTTTCAGACCAAGGAGTTGAATAATTATGTTATGCTTTGGTGTTCATACTGCCCGAATTGGTTCTTTTTTACACCATTTGAAAAGATTTTTTTTCCCTAAAAATTATCATTCACAGTTATTAGAAAAATTATCATATTCATCTGCAGAAACGTTCACTCATTCACTTTCACTGTAAATGCTCTATAATACTTCAGAATCAGAGTATTCGGCATCAGAAAAATTATTGACAAGATATTCATTTTTTTTTAAGTGAGATATATGGGGCGTTTTCTTGTAATATTTGAAATCATGTTTATCACTTTTATGAAAAACAAGCATCCAATAAATAACATCTATCGTCCACTGAAACTGGTATGCATCTGCTGTGAGTGGTCACCCAGACAACTTAAAACATAAAAAATGTGGTAACTGAAACTATAATAAAGCTAGAAGTGTGAAACTGGATATATGACCTTGTGGGACTGGTTTGGGAAGGTAGGAGGAAGGACAGGGACCATTCCTTGTTTTTAGCAGGGCTGTGGAGTTGGAATTGGAGTTAGGTAGATTTTTGGGTAAAAGGAATCGGAGTTGGAGTTGCTAAAAACAATTCAACTCCAACTCCAGTTTTTGTTGGACAGATTGAATTTGAAATAAAAGTAAAGTGAATTGAAAAAAAAAAAAAAAAAAAAAATTAATGACAAACTGAGTTAATATTTTTATTTATGGACTACAGTCAAAAGTCGTTAATTCAGACACCCATAATCCGTATACCGACCTCAAAGCTAAATCTTTTCTGCGCTCGCATAGGCTTTTACGGTGCGACGACTTACGACTGCGCATATGCGTGCAGAATAGTTTTCCGGCACGTTTATGAAAACGAACGGATAGCTTAATTTTAATTATCTATTTCAGTTAATGTGAGGATGCGTGTTCTTAATCTTCGAATGGATCGCTTATTATTTTTTCTGACTGTAAGAGCAATTTTATAAAAGTAACTGAACTTTTCGATAGTCGAATAGAATTTCGATGCTGGCTCCCAAGGATCTAGAAAATGAGTATGCTTCGATGTCCATCAACAAAAAAGAATGTAAAAAATGGATAAAGGCATATCCTATTCTCTAACCCTTAAGACATTGTTTATCAATTTCGCGCTGCTCTGCGGGGGGGGGGGAGAATGTCGCAGCGCGCATGAACTGGAAGTTGATCTGCCAGCACTATCCTATCTTCAGGGCAGATTTTTTATTTTATTCGGCTTATAATTCTTCTAATAGATTTTGTACTCCGTCTTTGATATATTTAAATCAATTCCTCTCCATTATAAATATCACAATACAAATCAAATAGTTTTCTGGTTGCAATTTTCTAACGGATGCGTAGGTATGCTTTACGCAGGCGCGCATTGAAAGAATGTTTTAATAAGTAACAAATAAATATTAGCTTTTTTTTTGAAATTTTGATACCCTTTAGATCATAATTGCTCATTATGTTTATAAATTAAAATTTTCATGTTTTTTTTTTTAATTTTATAATTTCTGCATGCCATCTTACCAGATTTAAACTATGATCTATAAGAAAATCGATATCCGGAGTCGTCGAGTCCCGACGAGTCCGGATTAAAGACTTTTGACTGTATATGCATTAATAAATAGTTATTTTCTATTTTATTGACATGCTAATAAATAAATATAAGAGAGCAGGATGGATGTGATATTTGCCATTATTGATTAAACTGATTCATTTAGTTACAAATCTCATTTGTAAATTTAGGTAAGCAGCAATAGCAGCAAGACTCCCAAAATTGATGCCATTCTTAGGTAGCGAGCGGGAAAAGGAGCAATTATTGATCAAGCAATGCGATGCAGAAGTACATATTTAATGATATGGTGGTTGTTAGAATTAAGACTTTTTTCAGAAGATGTAGATTACCCTAATGTTTCACTAACAAAAAGACTGTGTAATGTTCTTTCAACACCGTACATAGCCACAAAAAAGCTACAATCTGAAGAATAAACAGGAGGCGAGAATGTTAGAATATGTAGATAACACTAATGTTTCGCTAGCAGAAAGACTGTGGAATGATTTTGCAGAACTGGAAACTCTTCTTTCTATACCGTATATAGCCACAAAAAAGCTACAATTTGAAGAATGCACATATTCATGCTCAAATGCACATATTCATGCTCACAATAACACCAATGACTTGTGGTGAGAACTTAAGAATAATTTAATAATAGATTCAAAGATAAATATAGTACAAAGTCCTTAATCCAGACTCTTCAGGACTTCGGCAATTCCGGATTAGGAGTTTTTGATTAGGGGTTTTTCCGGATTATAGATCACCAATTTAAATCTGGTAAGATGGCATGCAGAAATTATACAATTAAAAATATGAAACTGCAATTTATGAAATAAAGCAATTATGATCTAAAGGGCATCAAAATTTACAATAAAAAAAGCCTAATATTTATTTGTTTACTTTATTAAACATTTCTTTCAACACAAGCTGTTTAAGTTGCTTTGTTTTTTGTGCTAATCTTTCTTTAATTCTATAAACATAATAATTGTCAGGTACAAAGTTTCACTGTTCAAGTCCTGTAATTGCTGTGTTGAGAATACTTACTAAGTTGTCAATCAAAATTTTTTGCATTTTCAATAACCTCTCTGTCACTTTCTTCACTATCGGAAGCATACAGTCCATAAATGAAAATTCAACATTGGAAGCGTTATTTTCTGGATCTAGAACCATACTACAGAATTTGCTGTCCATTAATTGATTGATGATTGGGGCATTGCCATCACAATGAAAAACTTCTGTTATATCATCTTCATTTATTACCGCTTCTCCACATTTCTTAACAAAATCCAATAACTGGAAAATTTCACCTTTAGTTTGCGATATCCAAAAACCTTCAAATTCGCGGCTACCATCTTCATCGTTCTCACCATGAAATATGGTAGCTGACCATAAGTTATGGCTAGCATTTTTAACGTATCTGGAGACACATCCTCCCACGATCTTGTGATGCTCCACACAGCAGATTTTATGTTAAAAATTTTCAAAAAGTCTTGAATAGTCTTGCCATTGTTCAAGAAATTTAACATAGATTTTAAAAATGCTACTTTATATTTGCATTTCAGCACGTGCACTATTCTCATATCCACAGGCTGAATGATAGATGTACAATTTGGAGGGAAGAATAATACAGATACATTATCTTTCACTAAAACTTTAAGTGAAGTATTCGCCGAACAGTTGTCAACAATCAGGACTATTTTTGCGTCATCAGGTACACTAACCGAATTCAGATGTTGGCGAGCCTTGGGTATAAAATGAATTCCAAACCAATCATTCATCAACGCTTGCGTCATCCATGCTCTTTTATTTGCATGATATATAACGGAGAAAATCGTTACTCCTTTAATTGCTCGAGGTTGTGCATGTTTTTCGATTACAAAAAGTTTGTACTTGTGTGTTTCTGCAACATTTGCACATGCTAAAATTGTTAGTCTCGCTTTGGAATCTTTGACACCAGTTGGAGCCTTTTCTGTAGAGGTTGCCAAGGTATTTTGCAGTACATATTGCCAAAGACCAGTTTCATCAGCATTGTAAATTTGTTCTGGAGATAATTGTTCACTAGTAATTCATCTACAAATTGTTCAGCAGCTTCAGTATTAGCTGAAGCTTTTTTATTTGAAATTTTTAATTCTCTTATACCATGGCGATTTTTTAAATTTGGTTAACCAACCAGTCGAATATGTGCACTCAGTATTTAAGTTCATTTCTTCATAAAATATTTTGACTTGAGCCATTAGCATTGGACCCGTCAACAGCACGTCCTTGCTGCGATGCTGTCTGACGCATTCAATCATCACTTTGTCATGATTGTCACTTTTAGCATAACAAACCCTTTTTCTGTTATTCATTGCAAGTGGGGTGTCAGAATCCACAAAAAATTCAAAAGGTTCCTTTTTCTTTTTGCTTATGTCATATACAGTTATCTTTACTCCTTGCATAATTTTGAGACGGATATGCCTTTATCTATTTTTTGCAGCAATTCCATGTTTTGTTTGATGGAGATCGAAACATGCTTTCACTTTGTAGATTCTTTGGCAGCTCCAGAATTGGAAACTCTTTTTGACATAATCGAAAGTTCAAGCTTAATTTTTATAAAATTGCTCTGACAGTCCGCAAAATATAATGAGCCAGATCCAATTAGAAGATTAGGGAACAGTGCAATCTGCAACATTAACTGAATCAGTAAAGATAATTTTAGCCTAGCTTATACCGTCCATTATACATTAAACGTGCATGCGTAAAGCATACAAAAAAAAGTTTGTGGCTATGAGTTCTGGATTGTACATCATTCCAGATAATGGACGTCCGGATTACAGACTTTGTATTGTAATAGTGCTGAACTAATACATTAGTTTAAGGCTAACTATTCTGACTCAACAACCTAACTTGCAATAGACTTATTAAATGGCTGAAAGGCATATCAGCAATTCAACGTAGCAGCATAAAGGACAAAATAGCAACATGCGCCAGGCTAGCAAAATCACACTCTGAAAAAACTTCAAATTTTCATCTATTTTTATACCATCTTCACCAACTTTAATTTTGCATCTTGGTGAAGAAATGCGAGGGGAAAATGAGAGATTCAGGAAAGATACCAAACTTAAAATAATTTGTTATGCAAACTAAGGGAAACCCTAAAAGTGGTATGCAAAATAAGGAGTACATGAAAGAAAAATGGTTGGGAACTGCTATATTAACAGATGCAAGCCAGTTTTATGGTGCGGTTGCAAATCTTGTAAATATTTGTTTTCGTTTTTTGGCGCAATCATACAACAATGAAAATAATGGAATGCTACAGTTTATAAAAATGAAAGGTATCAGTTAACCTGTAAGTACTAAAAAAGATACATGAAGGTATGCATAGGATGTCAGGAAAAAGATACATGTATTGAAATTAAGAATTTCAATAAAGAACATGGAGCTAAATAAAATTCAAATTGAAATAAAAATAAATAATAGAAATAAAAGTATCTTATTTACTTCTTGTCTGAACTGTGAGAAAGACTTGGAAATTTCCTGATGAACAGAAATAAATGCCACATGATCGCCACTTTCATCAGCTGCTATATCAACCAGTTGTTCAATGGTATTACTTGATAAAAGAACGTCACCATTCATAAAATAGTAGCTATTTTTAATCTTTTTTTGTATACTACTAATGGATCTGAAAGAAAAAAAATTCATACAAGACTAAAAGAACTTTAATAAATTTAAAAAATAATTAATTAAAAGTTGCTTCATATCTTCTCTGGGAAATTAGAAAAGTCATATGAACTATATTGAAGAAAATTAATTCAACGATAATAGTAAAATTTTGAATTCAATAATTTTAAAATTTAAAATGTAATTAACTTTTAGCATATATTGACAATTTACTGAATTCAGCACAGTTATAAGAATGATTTAAAAATCAAGAAGAAATTTATGAGTCTAGCAAAAAAATCTTACTCAAAAGACATCCAATCTAGTTATGAAGGAAGGAGAACCACAGAACCATTTGAATTCCAGATGATAAATTAGGTAGGTTGAATACAAAAGCTCTTGATTTTACAGAACTCTTAATACAGTCACACTGTTCAAGTTAATTTATTTAGATTCCGAAACATATTTTAAGTTCAAATATTTCATAAAAAATTATATCTGTAAATGTAAAAAATTTATAATTAAACTTTTCTATAGAAGCAAAACTTTGCATTAAAATTATGAAATATAAATAATGGTTAGATACAACTACATCTTAACTATTAACTTTGTCTTAAACTTTGCCTAAATTTGAATTCCAACACAATTTACTACTGGAAATTTTATCTTCCAACACATTCATAAAAATCTGTATCAATAAAATACCTGGTGACATGTTTTCAGCTGACTGGTTGAACCTTACATTTTATATACTTACAATCATTTAATCTCTTTGGCTAATCAGATTTCCTTTCAGATGCTAATACCTGCTTACATCTACTTCAAGCATGTCTCCAGTAGGCCAAATGCTCATTAATGTATAATAATGCAAGGCCACAAGAAATAAAATCATTTTCATGTTTAATGATGTAGCAAACATAAAAATGCATAAAATCTTACCTAATGTTATAAATCTCTACAGAAGGATTATAAGAGAATTTGAATAGTAGATGGATGAAAACAGATGATGATGAAGTAGTAGATGGATACCTACTGTTTCCTCAGCACCTGGCATATTTTCCCTACAGGTATCTAGAGACAGGCTACAGATATTTGGAGATATGCTGCATGGGTTAGAAATTTTCGGAGCAGAAGTCAGATGAATGTCTGTAAACCTGGATCTCACTGGCAACATTTTCATAAGAAAGAAAAGCAGGACTGTGGAGTCAGAGTCATGAAGTCAAAATCCGAGTTGGGCAGATTTTGGAGTAAAAGCAGTCTGAGCTGGAGTTGCTCAAAACACGTCAACTCCGACTCCAGTTTTTCTTGGAGTTTCAATTTGAAATAAAATTAATGTGAATTGAAAAAAAAAAAAAAAAAAAAAAAAAAGGTAATGACAAACTTAGTTATTATTTTTTTATGGAATATACATTAATAATATTTAGTTATTTTCCATTTGATTGACATATTAATAAATATAAGGGAGGAGCACGGATGTGACATTTGCCATTATTCATTGATTCATTTAATTACTTCTTCAGCTCATAGATGGTATTATTCACGACGTTATAGCATAATTCACAACAAGAAAAAGGAGCCCATGGCTGCAAAATGCATCAAATCTCATTTGTACCTATGCTAAGAATCTCACTGTTAAATTTAGGCAAGCAGCAATAGCAGGAAGGACTCCCAAAAGTGATGCAATTCTTAAGCCCATATCACACGGTGTTTGTTTCACACGAACAACTGTTTCGGACAATTTTTCTGCCTGTTTTACTATTGAAAGAAAGACGTGCGACTTTTTCCTTCCTTTCGGAAAAAGTTGCAAGTTGTTCGTTTTCAACCAATCAGCTATCAGCGCTGAACGCTGTTAGCTTGTTTATAATGGAGAACCAGTTTTCCCTATGTTTACCCCAAAGCGAGCTGTGGTGATTGGCTGTTGTGACAAAGCAGAAAAATTGTTCCAAACAGTTGTTCTTTTGAAATAAACCGACGTGTATTAGCAGCCTTAGGAGGAGAGCAGGAAAAGAAGCAATTATTGATCAAGCAACACAATGGGGAAGTACATATTTGATGACAAAGAAGTTAGAATTAAGAACTTTTTTAGAAGATGTAGATAACCCTAATGTTTCACTAACAGAAAGCCTGTGGCATGATCCTGCAGAATTGGAAACTCTTCTTTCTACTAGAGTCACAAAAAAGCTATAATCTGAAGAATTAACAGGAGGCTTGTTTCTGCAAAAATGAAAAGATTTGATGTTTGTTCTTTCTAAAATGGAAGGGAGTCAGAGTTGGAGTTCTTAAATTTCCAGACATCAGAGTCAGACATTTTTCCTACCAACTCCACAGCCCTAAAGAAAAGCCGTTCAGTCTAGTACATACTAACAAACACAGAAATCATGTATAACACAAATTTGTTGTAATCTGGGAACCATCTAGGCAAGTATTTGTAAATTTTAAGGATACCAAATTCACTGACTTTTGCTCTAAAGCTGAGATGCCTTGAATTCCTGTAGCATTTTCTCAGTTGTGGTTGAGAAAGTATTGTCGTAGAGACCACCTCAGGATACATTTAGAAATTTATTTATTTTGCACCCAAGTTTGCATGTACAACACATTTAAATAGTATTAATTTCAATTTTTACAATTACATAGTTTTTGTTAATTTCTAGGAGTGAAAGAGGGTCACAGAAAAATGAGTCAAAGACCACATGTGGCAAGCAAGCCACAAGTTTTAAATGCCTGATTTAAAGATTTCTTATGTTTTTAATATTCAGGATTGTGATAGTAAAAATGAGCTTTAATTTTTACTACAGAAAACAAAAATAAGTGATAAATGATTATAAAAATCAAGAACTATTTATAGAATCAAGATCAGTTACACTAAATGCTAAAAGAAATTTAAGAGCAGTTACACTAAATGCTAAAAGAAATTTTATATGAATATTAACACTGAAGCATGATTTTTCTTAAAAGGTGAGAAAGTCAGATTTAAGTACTAGATCCATTCATTTATTAGTTAGCTCTAAAAATATTATACCTGAGTTTTATAATAGCATTGCTTAAAAGTTTTGACATGCAGCAGAACCCCATATATTTAACAAAGTGAAATTTTCCCATTTAATTAAATGACACAATCCATTAAAATACTTTATAAAAAAAAAGCTTTTTTTTTTTTCCTTATATGCTAAATATAGATTTCTTGTAACACAAGACAGCATTTTTTTATTGTATCTTATTTTGACAAAGATTATACAGCAGGGGGAAAATATTTTTATTTCTACAAAACAAAATACAAAAAAACTTCTAAAAAAATTTATTTTATTTGTCTAAACATAGAATCAGTTTCTTCTTCAGCTAAAAGAATGAAATTATTTTTTGTTAAAAAAATTCTAAAAATAAGCATATAGCCTTGTTTTTATTTTTTTCTGTGATAAAATTAAACAAATAATTGTCATTTATTCACATAAGAAGGTACAACTTTGTACTACACAATTAAAATTAAATCAAGACATAACTTCTTACAGATGTAAAACAACAAAATTAACAACATATGTGATATTTTTTTCACTTGCGATTCATGAAAAATTCTAATTTATAGACATGGAGGTTAAAAAAAATATACATATATATATAGCTTTAGCAAAGAAAAATTTAATATGAATAAGTAATGGCCCCTAGAGTACAGAAAAAGCAGTAGGCATATATACAGTACTTAATTTTCTATTAACATCTTTAGGCCACATATTCACCATGTATATATTTAAGGTTTTAAAATAATTTAATGGTTTTTATGAAAATTTGCATTACATTTCTATATTATTTAAATCAATAAAAATTTTAATTTTACTTGATCTACAGTTAAGTACAAATAATCTAGAAAATTCCCATTATGGATAATTTAATGCTACACATTAAGAGAACTATTCAAAATGTAACTGACAACTATTGCATCATAAATGCCTCTTTATCCTATGATTAAAGTCCATACAGATTTAGAAGTGTAAAATTTTTATTGCACAACTTTCTCCTAAATTTTTGATGAGTTAAAATAAGCCAAGATAATAATTGTGTTACATAAAATAAAGAAACACAATCTTCTGTATTAATTAATTAGTTTTTATCTAAATAGTGAAGTCAATAAATTCAAAATTCAATGTGTAACACAAATAAAAAAAAGTCTAAAATTTAACAAAATCATTTTTAAAATTATGTTGATTTTATGGAAAATAAGGCATTTCAAGAGAGAAAGACACTTTCATTAAGGAGAAAAAACTGTATTCAAGAAAATGTTCCTTCCCTTGAAGAAGATAATCCCTGTATGAAATTTCCTTAAAATGCATGGTTTTTCTGTAAATCCCTGTCGATCTAAATTTTTGCCTATTTTAAACTCAATATGCGTGTGCTTCTTTTTCATATATTAAAATTAACTCTTAAATGAATGTAATGTCTTAACTCACATTATTCCTATATTTATTAAATTATTAACTGATAAAGCAAATTAAAAACCAATTTCTTAAAATATATGTGTAAATGATCAAATGTTAAAAAAGCAAATCCAGTGCTTAATAAAGTAACACAATGAACAGATTACATAAATATAAATTATTCTTAATAAACTGTAAAAAAACATGGCTTGATAATAAAATAATTTTATGTTTTTCAAAACTAGCAGTTATTATCCCTATCCATAAATAAAGTTTTTAATTTTATGCATAGTGGAACACACCTTAATGGGAAATATGAAGTTTTCAGCAAATGGAACATTTTTCTCTGCAGACCGAAATAAACCATATGTAGATCCATTCTCAATTAATACAGCCAATTAATTCAAAACAAAAGACAAAATAAGAAAAAACAATTCTTAACCTCTTAGTTTCAAAAAGTAGTTTATCGTGTAATGAAAATACAAGGAAGAAAAATCTAGATGCTGAGATAACTTCATATCTCAGTGAGAGGCAAGAGCTTTCACAATGTGCAAAACAGAGCAAAATGATATCATTGGTCACATGGTAACGAACATGCAGTATATATTTATGCAACGCGGTAACAAAGAGAACGTCTGATTATGATTAGCAGCAACTCTGATAACAGAAACATTCTTAGTAAAGGAATAAAGTGCGATACTACAGCTGTTATATTGGAAATGCCGTTCCAAATTTAAGCACTTTCTACTAGAGTTGTAATTGCATCATAGTTGGAACGAAGAATATTGCCCTCTGAAAATTCAAACTGAGTCTTCAGAGGGCAGTAATTTATTTAAAACAAAAATAAGACAGAAGTAGAATAAAACACATGGCGCACAAAATCTCCATATCACTTAACATTTAAATTATGTGAATATCTTTATACTCCGTACACTTAACGAAAAGTTGTTTAGGCACACGACGCTTTTCAGATATTGCCATATGAACTAAGGCTAAAATTTTGCATTAAAAAAGGTGCTAACAAGAAGAGGAATAATAATTTTTTAAGAATACTTGTGAGATTCAGAAACAAGAGTTAATAAAGCGTAAAATTTATTTTGCAGTATAAAAATTTTACCTCTATAAATTATTCTTTATTACGTAACATTCACACATTGCTTTTAAATGAATGTATTGATTAAAGTTATGTTCTTTGAGACTTTCCGCATTCCATTCATCTTTCTCCTTGTAATAAAAACGTTGTGTTTTATTTATTATTATTTCTTCAAAAATTATTCCATGTGAAGACACTAAACATCTCAACTTCTGGATTAAACTCTGAATCTTCAAAACAATTAAAAGAGAAACATTAAAACTATGTGGAGACTTTATCGAAGAACAAGTAAGTTTATTGTTTTGACATTTTGTCAGTTTTTATAGAAATTTTACGTATGAAATATTTATTTTTTACACAAAAAATGCATGTTCTAATGATGTTATACAGTTGTGCGACTTAATTCGTGTTCTTAACAAATGTGCTTGTTCTCAATCATTCAAGTTCAAAAACGCACTTGGGTAAACGTTGTACAGTGATCAGACAAAAGCACACTGGACGAAAGCGCAAGCAACAAAAGCCCACGAAATAAAAAGAGCACTCTATGATAATTGCCGATGAAAGCGCATGTGACAAAACTTGCACCGATGTATATGGTACAATGAAATTAATATTCCTCTCCTTTTTTCAGTTATACAAAGATTCATGAAAAGAGATAAAATAAATTAATAACAAATAATTGAACTATAAACTAACGGAACACATTTTATTTTGGGGTCAGGCTGAAGTAAAAGCCTGTATGTATACAGAAAAGAGATTCTATCAAAATAAAATTTATATAATTAAAAACATATATCATATCTATGTGTGACTTTGTTAATGTATTTGCTCAACAGTGTCCCTCCTATAAGTCGCACAAAGGGAGGTGAAAGAGAATGTTGGCCACACTGCTTCTTTTAATTCTACAGAAGTATAAGGAGTATAAATAAATTAACAAGATTTAGGCATTTGAATAATTAAAACAACGAAATATTCTGAACTCGGGAGCAAGAGGAAAACTATAGCCAAGCACTCTAAGAAAAGTATGTACTTTTCCGTTTCGGCGGCGCAAATCTCACCAAGCAGACTTTATTGGCGACAACATAACATACAGTATGCACATAAAAAATGTTAACAAATGTTAGTTCTAAGAATTTTTTTTATTTTGAAGGCATAAACGTTTAAATATCGCTAAAAATTTCATAAAAAGCCAATAAATAAAGACAATAAATTTATAAAAATACATTAATTTAAGAATTTACTATGCTTTCATCGTTCAACATCCTGATTTGCTGCTTCATATCACGTGACCCAAAGGATCTCATCTCACATAAACTACGCTACAAAAATTTAATTCTCTCAGTAATTATTTACATTAATTTCAAGTTAAATCTTAATTTGGAATGCAAGTTTAAATGTAAGAATTATTTCAATTCGTACAAATAGCTTACTCAGAAATTATGTAAAATCACAGTGCTTTACTTTGCTAGTGCATTGTCATTAAAATTCGTGAATTTAACCCTTGACTTTGTCTTTTCTGTAGAAAAATGTGATTGCACCCTAATTGACTTAATAACCTCGAATGGCCTTAGCATAAAATTGAACTATCTGGTAAAAATTCTATGTAATTGTATGCCTGTATTGAAATAAACAATCAATCTGATAAGAAATGGCTGTGACTTGTTTTGAAAATGAGGTGTAAAAGGATACCAGTGAGGATATTCCATTTGGCTTCAGTTGTGCTACTATTGGCGACTTTATATTGAATATAGTTAAATAAAAATTTTGATTTTAATGCAAACTTTGTTCCTGTACTGCTCTAAATATCACAGCATAAGGGGTGATTCTGGATATTTGGTTATTAACCCTTTCGTGGGCCATTTATTTCTCTTTTGAATTTCTCCCGTTTCTTTATGTTTTATTATCAATTAAACAATAGCATTTAAGGAAATATATTTTATTTTGCCAAATTTTGTGTTTATATTTAAATTCTAGGTGTGGGAAGTATACTTCCCACGGGACTTTTTATGGTCATAGAGAAAATTCAATTTAAAGGCGATTATTTGCCGTGAAAAATGAGAAACATGTTGCAGTGCACAAGGGTACTTCTAATACTGCACACATATAGTGGGTCCTCTTTTCTTGGGCCTTTGTGCTACATTTCTTACATCGTCTATAGTTAGAAACCATCTTTGGCATATGATTTCCCACATTGACTAAGAGTACATCATCCGGAACTGCACACCTTTTTGCTTGGAAGCTAGCAGGACGGCCTTTCTTTTCTCAAGGAATATCCGTCTATTAGTTGACCAGCTAATGCTATATGGAATGTTAGCTGGTTTAAACTTCTGTTTCTCTTGTTTCCTTGCCACAGTATAAAACTATTTACGATGCCAAGATCAGTAAGAAAATAAAAAATACGATGCCACCATTCTACAGATCTTCTCCCTGTTTGGTACCTTTAGGCTGTGTCTCATTGGTTTTTTTCGTTTAATGCCAATAGTTTGTTCCACATTTTGTGTAATGTGTATTAAACCACAGCTGAGATTAAAAGATGAAGTAAAGCCATACTAGGACTTAACCAGCATATTCTCATTACATTTTGACCTAAAAATATTTTTAGAACTTGTATTTTTTATAGCATATGCTATGAAATTATTGTAAACTAAAATAAGAAATGTATGCTTTGAAATTGTGTATTCCAGAAAAAGCAGTTTTATGCATACTAATCTATCTGTGTATGTAATAGCTTATTTTATACAGCTTTTTTTGCATCTATATTGCCATGTATCTCATTCCTGATTTTATTGTAATGTCTCTCTTAAGTTGTTATTTGGATTACTCACATCTCAGGTATTTCAAAATAACTCATTTTAGAATACATGAAACTTGTGATGTATGCTTTCTTCAAGTAAAGAATTACTTATATTCAGTTTTGCTGGATATATTCAAGCCTCTTGTGCAATTGATGTAATAATGTTAAGAAATGTATTAAAAATTGGATGTGTACCCATATGACTTCCTTATACAGCCTATTAAATTACACACATTTTTTCCTGCATCTCATTTAAACTTATTTCTTTAAATTTTTCTAACTTAATTAACCAGTTCCTCAAAGCAAGTTAAAAATGATATCTTGAAATTAAATACCCTGGTTAGGTTTTTGTTGCACAGGAGTCAAACTTCTTATAATTTTATTTTTTCATAATGAGTTTAAAACTTTCCCAGATGTAAGCATAGGAACTGCGAGACTGCATTAAAGTTAGATTTCATTTTGAAAATTATTATTATTTTAATTTTGGCATTGGTAAAACATGAACATTTTCGTCAATTAAAACACTTCTGGGTTGATCTTTACAATATGGTAACTGGTAGTTTGGCGACATTTTCGAGGCGATAAAGGTTACTACCTGGGACTTTGGTAATAATGTGAGCAGTACTCAGTTCCGATTACGCATTTTTTTTGTGTGAGGGAAATGAATGAGAGATCATGGATGTTATGTGATATTAATGGACGAATTACGGTTCTTTAATCGGAAAAGGGGGAAATCGGAAAAAATCTGGAAATTTTGTATTTGGCTTTATTCTGTTTGTGTGAAACAGTGTTCGTGAATTTTTGGATCCCATGGCCGTAACTAAAGTGAATTCGAAATGGTATTTATGTATGTATTAATTTAATGTATGTGCCTCATTTATATTTTAAGTAGTTTTTGAATTTAATTATATTTTAATTAATGATAGTTATTTTGTGAATTTATGTTTGTAGGAATTTGGGGGTATATGTTTTAGTTGAAGTAAACGTGCATGGAAATAATTAAATAATCTGACACTAAGTATTTGTAATGGTTGCGGTATGAATTCGTTGGTGACGTGTATAATGTAATAGATGATTTAGAGGTAAAGTTTTTGGATATTTTTATTTATTTTATATGTGGAAATGTTTATATTTGGGAAGGGTAAATAACGTTTTCGCGATCAGGGTAATTTCATATTGTTCTTTTAACGGTTTAAAGATTGAGAAAATTGTCATGTAATTTTCGTGAAATTTTTCTAATTTATGAGAAAAAAAGCAGTGCACATGGATATAGTGAAGAGTGTGCACAATGCCATTTTTGTGCAATTCTGGGATGTTTTTTTAAGTAAAAATAAGTCGGCGTTTACATGGTTTAGTGATATTTTAATTAAATGATAGTTATTTTGTGAATTTTATGTTTGTAGGAATTTGGTACACTAATTAAGACACAATAATTGTTGTTTGACTTCTGAATTAGAATTTGGTACACGTTTAAGTTGAAGTAAACATGCATGGAAATAATTTAAATATTTGATACTAAGTATTTGTAATGCTTGCGGTATGAATTTGTTGGTGATGTGTATAATGTAATAGATGATTTAGAGGTAAAAGTTTTTGGATATTTTATTTATTTTATATGTGGAAATGTTCATATTTGGAAAGGGTACTTTTTCGCGATCAGGTAATTTCATATATGTTCTTTTTACCGAGTTTAAAGATTGAGAAAATTGTCATGTATTTTCGTGAAATTTTTTCTAATTTATGAGAAAAAAGCAGTGTACATGGATATAGTGAAAGTGTGCGCAGTGTCATTTTTGTGCATTCTGGGATGTTTTTTTAAGTAAAAATAAGTCGGCGTGTACATGGTTTATGTGTATGTGTTATTTTGAAAAACGCGTAAGGAGTATGGTACCCAAATTGAATTGCTTCTGAAACCTTTAAATTCAACCGTAAGTAGATAAAAATGCCTTTATAATATACTTTGAACTTCTCTTTTTAAACAGTAGATAGCAGCATATCACAAGGAGACGCAGAATTTTCATTTATTATGTGTTATTAACCCTTTAACTGTCAAGTTATTTTGATGATTTGGGTACACAAATTGTCAAATTTTTTTATTGGAAAAACCAAATGTAGCCGAAATAAACATCTCCCGATATATATTCGGGTATGACAATACGATGCACTCAAAAAAAAAAAAAAAAATTACCCCGAGAAATACTCGGGCGTGATATTTTCGAACACCAGTGCAATCTCGGGCATGGCAGTTAAAAGGTTAAAATTCACTTTTTTTCAAGCAATTTTCTCTATTTGAACTTTTCTTTTTAAACAGTAGATAGCAGCATATCACAAGAAGACACAGAATTTTCATTTAGTTTATTAAAATCCACTTTTTTCAAGCAATTTTTCTCTATTTTGTTAATGATATAAAAATTTTATTTGGAAAAAGGAATTAGGCATAATTTTTCTGGCTGTACTCCAAATTATTTGTTCTACATTTTTTTTAAATATTTCA